AATCCATTCTTATAATAGACATCTGTAGTGCATCTGTTTATCCAAAGAGGAGCTACTGGGTCAGTTTCATTCCAAGTCCTGCTTAGGGAATAAGAGAAACTGAAGAGCTTATCCAAGGAGGCCCACTGTTCTTTATCTGCCAAAATATGATTGGGTTTGAGTTTTATTTTGGTTTCTGGGGAAAGACCTATACTGAGACCTTTTCTAAACTTAGCTCTCTATTTATAAAGTAGCTTAGTTGATGAAATACTGGATTTCTCAACATTTATCACACATTTAAACATTCTCTCAGAAGATAAAAGAAATACATCTAGAGACCTACTGACATTTTTGAAGCAACAGAAGTACCCCAAAATCAGCCACCGCATCAGAGGAAACCTGCTAGAAAAACACTGTAAGGGCCTTTTAGAGATTTTTTAAGTGCAACAGCAGGATTGGGAAAATTGAAAAATATCCAAAAGGCTTCAGAAAACTATAAAGAGACTGGGAGTTCTGCAGAGGGAAGAGGAGCCTGTCATCATGAATCAAAAAGGGTGAAAGGATGTTTAGCTCCACCAACTTGCAAGAAAGAAATTGGACGAGGAGACAAAGGCTCATAACTTAATAAGGACATCTCAAAAAGCTTCCCTGAAGAAGTTTGGGGATCAGAAATATCTTCTCCCATATCAAAAAGAGAAAGACAATACTGAGACATTAGTGTTTCACGATCAGGCTGGGTTTCTTTCTGCATTTATAAAGGCAGCTTGAGAATGGTCTTGTGCACTAATTTCAGGCACTAAACTGGATTTTTTGCAGACCTGATGAAATTCAGAGCTGGAATGGTTTGACTAGCTAGCATGATGAATTGCTCTAATTCACCTCAAAGGACGTTAGATCTGAAGCATCATCTAACTGTCATTGTAAATGTTCAATGCTTTTTTTAAGAAGAAAAATTCAGCTCATCTGGTGGCAAAATTTGGATATTCTACCTTTTTTAAAGCGAAGTGTTAATATACAAATACTACATTCACCTTTTTCTTTCTTTTTTCAAACTCAGAAAAACTATCCTAAGTAGAATGACCAGATGTCCCGATTTTATAGGGACAGTCCCGATTTTTGGGTCTTTTTCTTATATAGGCTCCTATTACCCCCCACCCCGTCCCGATTTTTCACACTTGCTGCCTGGTCACCCTAATCCTAAGGAAGGGAAGACAGCGGCACATATCAGTCACTGGAATGGCACTGAAGGATCACAGATCAACAATAATAAAATTTATCAAAATTGCCCCATAGGACATTCCAGGTTATCTCAATATTGCAAAAAACAACAACAACAACAACAACAAAAAAACACAACCCACAGCAACAAGTCTCAGAACCCAGGTCTACAGACACAGATTCATGCTACGGTGTTAAAAACAGTGCTGATACTCCACTCAGGCTGAACCCTGGGCTCTGAGACTCACCTCCTTTGCCAGGTTTCAGAGCCCAAGCTCCAGCTGGAGCAGGAATGTCTACACTGCTATTTTTAGCACTGTAGCATGAGCTCCATACACCCAAGGCTCTAGACCCATGCTCTGATGCTTGCTGCCATGCGTGTTCTTTTGCAGTGTAGACATTCCCCCAGATGCTCTCCAATGCATTCTGGTTTCAGTTATTTCTTGTTTATCTTTCCTTATTTTTTATTTGCTTATCATTTTCCCTTCTTAAGTAAACATTGTCGCTTAATTGTAAAGCTATTTCCATTTGGATTGGGGAGGTTATTTTTATTAGTAGTACTTTAACCAACAGCAGATGAAGTAACAATTTTTCTCCATAAATTAAATCGAACCCCAACAACTTTAGGCTCCTTGGCCCAGTGAGATGACAAACATTTCTTCTTGTTCTTTCGCTGCTCAATCTCTCTTGTGCTGCCTGTTAATTATTTCTTAATGGTTACTGCATAGCAAAGCAGCAGTGCCCTTCACAGCTGGTTCTGCCTTAGTACCATAAAATTGCTTATCAATTTTTATACTCCATGCAGTGAGTGACCAATAATTGGTCACCATATGTGCGCCTAGTGAGCTCATGTGAAAGAAGCCTTCTACGTATTCCCACAACTGGACCTTTGAAAAAAATTTATATCACATGTACAGTAACCCATTAATTTGAGTGATCCGCTAAAACACTGAATGTACAGCTCCACTGAATATAACATTTCGTGCAGTAAATTATCATACACATGACCCTTCAGTGGTCCAGGAGACTATTTTTTATTGAAGTTTCCTTCAATAATATTTGTGAAAAAGTAGCATTTCTGACCAAATACAAAGATGCAGCATACAAAGTACTGAAAGACTAGGATGATGTTTTATTAAGAGAATTACTTTGCTTTACTGAGTTATTCCTCTTCATTTTGTGCTTTTCTGATAGCATGAAGGTATTCATTAAATAGTAATAAATGCTGCTTGTAGATGAGTGAAATTAGAGAATGCTTTCATGCAGATTTTTGTAGACTGCAAAGGAACTTTTTGAAAAGATACTGTAACACCTTCTGGGACACTGCCACACATTAGTTCCCAGAACTATAGTAAAGTGCTTGCTTATAAAGTAAATCCAAAGCTTGTTTCAAGAAGACAAAATTGTCTGCTTTAGTTATTTAGGAAGATTAGCACTGAAATAGTATATTAGACCCAGCCTGTCTAACCTCTAGTACCACCCAAATACACACAAATAAGCAGGTCAGTCAACCTGGAAAAAATATTTGGTCAGATTTGTTGCCTGAAAACTTTACTATAATTTTACAATAAATTATTTATAATAATTACACCAAGTACTGGATCGTCAGCATTCTGCGCAACTATTAGTTGTAGTATTGTGGAACCAATCATGGATCAAGGCCCCATTTTGCTAGGCACTGCATGTAGAAACAATGACAGCATGAAGGAGGAACTCAAGGAAGCAATGGGAGAAGAACAAAGGTGAGGTTTCACATGTGAGAGATTAAACTTCTCCATAACAAACGTAGTTGTTCAACCAGAGTCTCTAGTCATATTCTTGCCACCCTGACTTACTCTGATTCCCAACTCTTATTCCCAACTGGGTAGCAGGTTCTTTTAGTTGTAAGTAAATGGTGTGAGGTGGTACCACAATAGTCAGTGCCTCCAGGTGTTAGCAGCTATAAGTTCTTATCTCTACAGCTGCTTTTAGTCGTTAGCATCCAATGAACTCTACTATGAAGGAGTGTTAGGCCATAAATATTATTCAGTTGTACAGTACAGCCTACATTGGCAAGACACACTGTTTTGATGCACAGTATCCCAGGTTCTTTGCTCTGCATGAGTCCATCATTGATATTTTGCAAGCTAGTTAAAGAATCCTGCAGGGACTAGGATTGACAAAATATATATGTTTGCCAGTTCAACACAAAATTTAACCTGTATTTATTGAATTGCAGATGGGCTTCCAACTCCAACATTATGGATGATGGCAGCTATTCGCCCATCATCCTTACACTAGGATATGGTACAAAATCCAGAAGAAAGGGCAGAGGAGGACAGCAAGCGAGGAGGAATACTTATAAAAAGCTTTTAAATTAGGTTAATATATTTTAAATCTTATCCTTTCTTTCTTTCATGTTTGCCAGTGAAGAGAATTCTAAGGAAGGAGCTGAGAGGTTGTTAAATGCTATAACAAGATATTGAAACATCATTTAGGAATCTTTCAAACACCAGACCATCAAGGAAATAGAGATGATTTTGGCCTCTAATTTTCAAAATTAAGTTTCAGACATGCTTCAGCAGCACTTACAGGAAACGTTAACAGGCAAAATAAATATCTATGTATTGTTTAACAGTGTTTCATAGATTTTAAGGCTAAAGGGACCACCATCTTCATCTAATCTGACCTCTCCTGCACAACACAGTTCATAGCATTTCGCCCAGCGATTATTTTATGTCTATATTAGATATATATTTAAAACATATTCAGGGAAAAATCCCACCAGGAAAGCTAGGATGCCAAGTATAGCTATTTGTAGATGGAAAGATGCTTGTTTCCCAAAATAGGACTATAATTCCCATGTTTATTAAATGCATAAAGTTATGAAAGCTGAAATTTGAAAAATAAAATGCAACTTTTTGTTGTTTTTACTGAGGGAATTAACCACTAAGGCAGCTTGATAAGTAATGTGGTAAATTCACCGTCACTTGGAGATGTCGAGCTTCAGTTGAATGTTTTCTCAAAAGTTATGTTCTGTTCAACCAGAAGTTATTGGATTTGATGGAATTCACTTATGTGGTAGGGAAAAATCACTATGGACTATGTTGAACAGAGAGGTCAGACTAGATGACAATGGTTGTCCCTATAGCTCTGAAGTCTATAAAAAACTGTTAATACATGCAATCTTCGTCATAATTCTAATTTCTAATATCTTGTTTAACTGAAATCTGTGAAAGAAATCTTGCTGTATGCTCCCTCCCACTGCAGCCAATATGGAAGAGAGACTAACGTTTTCTAAAATGTATTCTTATATTGTGATGCTTTGCTTTTTAAGTGCCAGCACATATCTTTCCCCATCCTCCTAAGTTTTAATTATGAACTGCAGAAAAGGCTCTTGATATTATTACTGCTGATTAATTTGGAGTTGAAAATGTTATGCCTGGAAATTATGCATTATTTTAGAACTGAGGCTGGGGTTAGTATTGGGATGGCATTTAATCAAAAATAATAACTAAACTTTTTTTAAAGCAGATTTTGAGATCACTCTCAACTGATCTGATGGCCACGAACTTTTAAAAAGACCGGATTTTGGGAGCCTAGATTGCTGAATTAACTGGGTGGAAAATGTACTCCTCCTTCAGTGGTTTTCACTTTATAAATGATATTTCAGACAGAAATGGAATGTTATCACACCCAATGGCAGTTTCCTGAGGAGATGAGACTTCTCTTTGCATAAAGACACTGTATGAAAACAGTAAATGAGAAGATTGTGTTGATGGCTTGTTTTGATCTGATCTAACAGTAAATAAATTATTTCTTACCTGCTACTGAATTTGGCCGTGGCATAAGGTAAAGTGGAATAGACTGCACAGACTGGGATAAAACGGTCTCTAGGTTCCTTTCTGGGATCTTGTTTAAACTGTAGGTGGAGGCGGTCATATTTTCATCTACGCGATATAAACAGGAGTCCATGCTGGATTTCTGAGACTGCCAAGGTTTCAGGTTTCCTCCAGATCCTAGTTCTTTGCTGCTCTCCCCTCCATATTTCGTGCGCTCCATGTTTTCAGAATAGCTTGTCAAAGTAGCTTGAAGGAACAAATAAAAAAGAGATGAATAATAAAGAAAGAAGTAGCTGCATACATAACAATATAAGATGATATGTGCAATGAAAATAACAAAAATAAAGCTGATCATATTTTCCAGCATTCTCACATAAATCAGAGATTATAGAACCGAGTGAAGCTGTCCTACTTACTGCTTTGAAAAGTTTTGTTTGACATTACTAAAAGGCATTTGCAGTTATCACGAGTATTAAAATGCTACATATAACTGTATTTGTTCAAACACACAATCCCACAGACTTATAATAAAGGCGATTAAGAACAAATACAAAGTCAGTTTTGCGCATTGTCTCCATTTTCTTCTAATATACAGTGAGTCAAACTGTATCAGTTTAAAGTTTATAAACATGCTTGTGATAATCAACTACAGAGTATAATAAATGACAGTAGCATATTTGTTTTAGAAAAATCATCTTGGTATAAATGTTAACCCCTAAGGTCACATCTGATTTCTAACAGAGTTTATGAAGCTTCAAAGATAATCCATAAATTCACCTTTTTACTGTGTGGATTACACTGTTGGTGCTACGTTGTTGGGGTTTATTTCATGGTCTCCTCCTTTTTTTCTTTTTGACTTCAACTTTAGGTATTACTTCCACTATGATACTGCCAAAGGAAAAGCCCTTTTTTTAAACTTTGCTCAATATCTTTCAAGTGAATGGGACAAATTCAGATCTGATATAAGTGCATGTTACTCCACTTAAATCAATGGGGAGGGAGGCATCTGACTATACCAGTCTTAATCAGCCCGAGGTATCCAAACTGCTATCCTACTAATTGATAGGCAGAAAATTCTCAACCTAAACTCATAACCCTCCACCCCTCCTGTGCTGTTAGGATACCAGATATCCAACTTGATCTTGAACTTTCCTATGCCTCAAATGTCTATAAATATAACTAATATAACTTTCTAAACTATTCCTCCATTGAAACTCTAATACTTTCATTTCCATTTAACCACTGTAATTACTTCTCCAAACCTAAAGTCTATGTTAATGTGTCTAAAATGCAACAAACTATTGCCACAGGGCCCTGGACAACACAACATGAATTAAGCACTTTCTGTTTACAGTACAAAGATCACACTTATGTTTTCCAAAATATTCTATGATAATGCCCTGTCTTCTGAAAGAGGCTTTTCTCCTTGCATTCACACAAAAGACCATTTCTGAAGCAAAAGATATCTAAAGCCATAATGGCTTGTATCTGTGTGGTCTCATTAACAACAACCAGAGTGGTTTAATTTCTTTTATATTGGTAAAAACAAACACAAAATTACTCCAAAGAAGCATATGCTTTCAGGCTTAAGCTCTTTCTATGCCAAGTTCCAAATTAAAGCAAAATTCGTAAAGAGAACAGTTTCATCTCACAAAATAGGATTTTAATGGATTTTCTTACACAATTTGAACCACAGCATCCCAAATAATAGCATTTTGAACATCCATTAGCTTCAGTGGAAGTACCAGGGATTAATCTGGCCCATTGTGTCTGATAATGACATTTAATATTTGTAGTGAGATAATATAATGAGAATCAGGGCTAAATATTTATAAATAAAGTCACAAGCATCATAACAAGGGGAAAAAAGACAACTGAAGGAATTAATAGTGAAGCTATTGTACTCTGAACAAGACAAAAGAGATGCCATCCCAGAAGTTACTGTGCCTGTTAGTGTCACAAGAGCTACCTGTCACTTGATTTCTCTGACTTTTGCAAGTTTCAAGTGTTTAAAAACCAAAAGGGAACTTGCAAGGAGACCATCTAATACTCCTATAAGTGCAAAGGGCAATTCAGTGCACCATGACATAGTGAAACGTCACCATTCTGCAGATCCCATTTGTCTTTGAACTGTTCAGAAAAAAGACATGACATAGATGATCTTTCCTTTAACAAGAACGGATTGAAGTCCTTTTAGAAAAGTACACAATCTAAAATGAGTGTAAAAAAATCCAAAAAAAAAATGCCTGGCTGGATTAAAGATCCATGGGCTTATTTCAAAAAGAATGTGGAACCGCTAACAAGGTGTGGCCAAGTGGTTTAGGCACAGAACAGAGTCAGAAACAGCTGAGTTCTAATCACAGGTCTGACTCTAACTTCATTGGGGACCTTGGGCAAATCACTTTATCACTCTGTACCTTAGATTTTCCCTCTGTAAAATGGGGTAATATTTCCTTATCTGAGAGGTGCTGCAAGGATGAGTTAATGTTTGTAAAGCATTTTTAAGTTCAAAACAACTACAGGAATGCTAAATATTTGATATATTCTTGTTGGCATTTAAATATATATTTTCTGTCAGGAAAACAATTTTATATGTTAAAATGGGAAAATGAGATCAAACAAGAAACAGATGTTGTTAGCAGATCCCCTCCCCCAAACACTGTTTAATTATTGGGAAATATGTTTTCAGCTGCCTTTTCTAGAATCTCTAATTCATTGTCTCAGTTTGTGTTGCTGAGACACCCTGTACCATGTATTTATGTAAAAATTAATTTTTGCCAAAGACGTATTTCCAATCAATCTTTGCAGAAACATATCATCAACTGAGGGAAATAATCTCCAAATAGCGCAAATTGTGGAAAACAAAGTATCTTGACAGATAGGAACTTTAGCAGTAATCTTGCTTTAAATGAGCCAGCAACAGAAAATGAAGAATAAACCCTGAAGGTCCCCTTCCTAACTGCTAATTTGTGTTTACTTGAAATGTAGTTTTCACTGGTTTAAAATCAAGCTGTTTTTATGTGCAAATTCTTCACTGACTCAGGTATTTGGGATTGTTCCCTGTGGGTTAATTTACCTTCTGAATGGTCTTGGATGATCTAAGTACTACTATGCAGGCTAGAATCAATTGCTCTATGGCTTTAATCCGTTCTGTGAGCTATTTTAAACCAAAACTATTTTAATTTTATTTAAAAGGACAAAAAAAAAAAAAGACTGCTAAAACTCAGCATCCTGAATTAGTATGCAGTGCATGTCTCTGAGGAGAACTAAAACATAAGTAATGGTGCAGCGAACGGGCTGTGCCTACCACAGGCAATCAGAGCTATGAAATTACCACTTCTCCATCACTATCGTAGAGAACAGTTCTATTTCAGAAAAGTCACACTGTCTACGTCAAATGAGCCTGTCTCAATGTAATACTACATGGAGAAAAGTTAATAAGACTTGTATATACAGGAAGCTATTTAGGCTTCGGGATGTGTTTAGGCAGTAGCGGAATACCTGCAACCAAAAAGAGAAGGCTGTGAAGCAATTCTTCCCCCAAAACTGCCAAATTCACAGTCTAAACTCTCCTATGGACAGGGCTGCAGCAAGAGCATTCCAGGACAGGTTCTTGGTTCAGAAGATGAGTGTGTTTAAGCACGTATCCCCATGATCTCTTACATTCACCCTGCTGCGGATTAATTCTGCTTTGCAGGAGTAATCGCCACATGCAGTTGCATGGGGACTGGGTATGCAGTCTTGGGACAGATATAATGCAGGTCCACAACAGGAATGCCTTTGCATCATTAAAGTGCAAACATGTCCATGTTAAAAACACTGGGCCTGAATTTGGCCCAAGTTATTTATTTTCCCATTAAAATCTGTCACTTATGGCCTGACATGCAACAAACCCATTCCATACTTTGTTCACTCATCATACATTTTGATTGTGTGTGACCCATTGACAGGTTTGAAGGGTGAGGAATATAATGGCTTTAGTTAGCAGCCTATGGTGTCAGTCCCACTGGAAACAATTGACAATTAGACAAACTTTCCAGTTCTTCCCTGGGCCGAGAGCATGCCTAGAAGATTTCAGCCCAAAGGTGGCTTCGAAAGTTCTGAGCATATGGAAATAGAGGCTTAAAATGGAACATGGTTTTCTAATACTATGGTGAGCATTACCAGCACCGGCTATAATATTCAAACACATACAGACTTAGGATATGTCTAGATTATGAAAAACTGTTGTTGTTGTTGTTTTAAAAAAAAGAGTGAGCTATCTCGAGGTGCCTAACCCGATAAGCCACATTTAAATTAGATGCTAAAACCATACAGCCTAGGACCAAGCCTATTTTAACATGTCAGCTGGTAGGTGTGATAAAATATAACTTACCTCGTGTGTCATGCTACAGTTTTAAACCATGTTAGCTTACACATTTTAAAATAAATGTGTAAGGGGGGGGGGAGGGATAGCTCAGTGGTTTGAGCATTGGCCTGCTAAACGCAGGGTTGTGAGTTCAATCCTTGAGGGGGTCACTTAGGGATCTGGGGCAAAATCAGTACTTGGTCCTGCTAGTGAAGGCAGGGGACTGGACTCCATGACCTTTCAAGGTCCCTTCCAGTTCTAGGAGATAGATAAATAAATTAATGGAGATATCCTATCTTAGTTTAGGCAAGCCTTCAGTGAACCAGCCACAAAAGAATCCATCTAAGGGCATCAGTGTCACCCACATCATTCTTGTGAGCGAGGCTGCCACATATAGAAATTGGGTAGGCAGAGTCTGTAACTTTCCCCGTGGGACAGTGGCAGTGCTGGGAAGCAGCATGATGCAGGCAGAGAAAGTATCCCTCAGAACAGTCATGGCCTCCACAGCAATGCAGCATACAACCTTGTGGAGCTGTCACAGGACAAGAAACGCAAAGGCTTCTTTCTCCAGAACAGAGCCTTTAAACCAACACTAGTCAAGGGAGGGAGTTAAAAGTTCCCATAATTCTCTGTGTGCTTAATTTCCCCTAAAACAAGTGATGTAATGGTCATGTTGTTAAAATGAAATCAAAGGTTTGTGGCCTAATACAAATAAGCAATCCTGTCCTGAGAGAGAGAGAGAAAGTCTGTGTGTGACAGAGAAACATGAAACAAGTAAACCAGTTTCAAGCCTCAAGGCAATATTATAAATGGCAGCAAGTACACAAAGGGTTTTGAAATATTATGGAAAATACCTTGATAGTGGCATCATCCTGACCCTTTCTGCTCTACATTTTAA